CCTTATACAAGACGATACGAAGGCGAGTACGGAATTTCGGCAGTCCTGCACTGTCGCAGTTTTTTTAACGGAAGGAGTAGATAATGATGGAGGGACAAGTACGGATTTCTGTAAAAATACGGAAGAGTGGAAGCACTGTTATATTGACTGAAAGACTACAACACAATGTGTAACACTTGTAGGAAGTCAACAAATGACGAAAGCGACAAAAATAGCACGTTTTTCTGTGATTGTCCTGTTTGATGCCGATGAATGCTTTGAGTCGTCCAGATCGCTGCAGACAATGATTTCGTTGTCTTATAGGCTGTTCCCACGTTGGGAGACATTTTTTCAACTGATTTCTTTTAATTTCTTTTTGTTCGTTTTCTTTTTGTTATTTCTTTTTTCTATTGTTGACTTTTATTTTTATAATTTTCATTCATTGTGATTTTTGTGGTCAGTGAATTCGATAAAATGGATTATTATACCAAATTTGGTGATATTCATGAATTGTGTTGTTTGTACCAAGGTGAGGTTACATATCATTAAATAACTTTTTTCAATAGCCGTTGCTGTCTCTCTTACTAACATTTTTAAATTCCTCTTTAAAAAGCCGTTCCAATGATATAAAATACAAAACATTTTGAAACAGTTCAAAATCCTGAAAAAATTGGGAAAGTGGGAAACCTGTGGGTCCTCACCGTGAAATCCACCAGGAGTCTGTGTGAGACAAGCTGTGGAAAAAGTGATCTGTTTTGTCTTTGTACATTGTTGAAAAATGACTTACTTGCTATATCTTTGCCAAAGTTGGAAGTGTTTGTGTGAGACAAGTCTTTGTAGAAATCCGTCCTGTGGGACTTTTTCATGCCAGTACACAAACCAAAGTCAGACAACTTGACATGGCCCTGGATGGAACAGAGACAGAGACAGAGTCAGTTCATGGCTGAATACAACTTTTCAGATATACTGTAGTAGAGGTTTTATGGCACTCGCAACAGCATAAGGTCATATGAGTGAGATATACTGTAATTGTAGACTGTAGTTGTGGGTGTATGAGTTGAAGACATTTTTAGTAGACTTGAGAGTCGTTTGTGACGCCCCACCTCCCAGTGAGTCTCCAACATCTTACAGTCCAACTCCGCATTTCTCTGAGATTTACGAAATCTTATGGGTTTACGTTACACTTCTACATTCTAAATCAACAGCTGGATTTATTAGAATGTATGAAACATAAAGTGAGAAAGACGAGCAGACGCAGTTGAGCTCGTCAAGGCATTTGGGTGTATCTAGGCTGACCCCCATCCACACAATAAAGATCCTTTGGGAGGTGGGCCGTTTCCACACTGCCGGTCAGGGTCAGCACAGGCAGGATGAAATACAGCATCAAAACGAGCGGAGATGCTGAACAAAAGATTTCCCCACTGCCTGCACGCAACAGCGGAGAGCCCAACCGCTACATCACAGATGCTGGTTAGTGCAAGATAGACACAGACATTGGCAAGTGAGTGTGTGGCTAGAGCAATAGTTGAAGCCATTTACTGGTTAACTTTTGATTTGAGGAAAGAGGAGAAAGAATGTAGACAGTCATTTAGGGCAAAGAAAAGTAAAATAAACAAAAACAGAGGAAAAGAAAAAAAAAGAGAATATACTTGTGGATCAGGTTTGTATGTGAGTGATAGATAAAACTGAAAATGGAGTTCCTCGTAAAATCAATGCGTTACCGAAATCCCTCCGGTTCAAGTTTTCTATTTTTTCTTTTCTACGATTACCAAATGTGTCTTTAAGGGTATGTAACTGCTGTTCTTTATGAGTTGATTAAGCAAGGATTGAGTTACATCCTTTGATAACAATCAAATTTCAATTTTGTCGCAGATGTCCCGAAAAGCATTTTGGTATGATGGCGAAGAAACAACACAACATTCTCAAACTTCAAACTGATGGACCCATGGACTGCATTGGATCTAGACTTTTCTAGAGCGTAAAAAGATGATAGTGATGCTGACCCAAGTTGGGTAGAGGGTTCCGAGTTTAGGAGAGGATAATGGAACTTAGCAATCTAGATCTAGGCCTAGTATTTGTTCTTTTTTAGCCTTTTTTTAAATCTAAACTTTAACAGACTTGAAAAAAATTCATTAAAAATGACCATTCAAGATATTTTTAAAATTTCTTTTGCATTGTACAGTCAGTTTTATTGCCCTTTTGCATGCTAAATTTCAGTGTTCCTTGGTGAATTATAAGGTTATAATGATTTTTGTTAAATAAGTGCCAAAATGCCAGGTATTTTTCCAACCTTGAGCCATAAAGTGCCAAACAAAGAGGGAGTTAATTATGGCCAAAGAAGAGACAGAATGTGTCTGGAGGAGCTCTTACCTTTGTGTCCAGCAGCAGATTGTCTGGCTTGATGTCCCGGTGGATAAACCCAAGCTTATGGATGGACTCGATGGCCAGGACTGTCTCGGCAACATAGAACTGCGTCTGCTCGTCAGAAAGTGTGTCCTTCTTCATCAGAAGTGTCATCATATCACCTGTAATAGGCAGAGTTACACATCTGTTGTCGTTTCACCTTGTCATTTGTTACATGCAGAATCACATGCCTGTGCCATAACACTACTCAAACACTACTCATTACATGAACAGTTACACACCAGTGTTATCATGACTTGTAATTAGCAGAGACACGACTTACCTCTCAAGAACAAAACTCGATGTGAAGACAGATAACTGAACAACAAATAATTTCAAACAGAGGTTAATGAAGAACGATCTTTTAATTTAACTTTGAGTAAAGAAAAGCACATGGACATGACAACTGCAATTTAGTACATAGTCGAACCTGTGTAAGACAGCTACCCAATGTCGAGAAAATAAGCCGTCTATGACAGGTGACCGACTAATGAAAATGGAGAAAACAAACCTTTTCCTGTTGAGGTCCTAATTGAAGGTGGTTACAGGTTTTGGACTGCCAGACTAGGGGGGAGGGGGGGTTTGTTTGGGTTTTTTTGTTTAGGGGGGAGGGGGATACGAAGGAAGGCTTTTGTTGTAGCTGGTGTTATTTTTGGTGGTCTGTTTTTCTCTAAAAAAAATTTTTGTCTGGAAGGGGGGTGGGGGTGGGAAAGGGGACTTTTATTTTTTTTAAACATTCAACCGAGTTTCCAACTGGAGCTGGTGGTAGGCTCAGAGAATGGGTTTACGTTACACTTCTACATTCTAAATCAACAGCTGGATTTATAAGAATGTATGAAACATAAAGTGAGAAAGACAGTGTGCAGGTGTAAAGCAAAACGAAATGTGTCAGACGAGGAAGTCTAGACATAATAAATATATAGGTTGCCACCAAGAGCGACGCTTCTGTCACAAGTTCATGTTCACGTCCATTGTCAAAGACTGGGTAAACAGTGACCGATCACTTCACCTACAATCTGTGTATAAGAAGTGGGAGGGGGCTTACAGGTAATGACGGACTACACGCTTCTTTCGTTAGTTTTAGTACGAGTTTTACGGGCACTTGCAACACAATAAGGTCATATAAGTGCCGAAGAATAGATGTATTACAAGAGAGTAACAAACACAAAAAAGAAGGAAGAGAGATAACGACGATAGGAAAGAAAAAACAAACCACACCAGAGCACCCACCAAGAAGCAAACCACACCAGAACACCCGCCAACCACCTCATTCGCTTCCTTCACCAGCAGCTGAAAATATATTGTGACCAAGGGGTTAACTTGTAAACAAAAGTGGACAGGACCTACCCATCATGATTGGACGGAGGGAGCAACAATATAATGACAAGTGAATGACTATGACTGCTCATCTACAGCGTCAGGAGCCAAAACCTAATTAGTTTTATGTTTTAGTAGAGGTTTTTCGTTGCTCGCAACTGCATAAGGTCATACGAGCGCCAGAAGATTAGAGGTATTACAAGAGAGTATCAAACATAAAAAAGAAGGAGGGGAGATAAGGACGATAGATGTTTGATAGGAAAGAAGAAGCAAACCACACCAGAGCACCCGCCAACCACCCACAAAACATAATTTACAACAAAGCATCAGGGGATGAGAGATTTGGGAGGCTATCTCAGACAGGTCCTTTTGGTTGATTGTCGTTAAGATATGCAGGTCGTGGCCGCGTAGAACACATGCCTGTTTTACACAGTGAAATTATATAGAAAAAACATGAAGGGGAAATGGAAAGTGGCCGATTGTATAGGTGGCCGTCATGGCAGGAAGGACTGAGGAAACACTCACATTTAGAGCAGAGAAAAAAAAGGTAGACAACTGACCTCCCGGTAGGAACTCCATGATGAGATAGAGGCTACTGGCATCCTGGAAGGAGTAGTACATCTTGACCACCCACTGATGGTCTGCTTCCGCCAAGATGTCCCGCTCGGCCCTCACGTGGGCAACCTGCATGGGAGGAAAGACGTGGTGAGCCAGAGCATGGTGAACCAAGATGGGAGGAAAGACGTGGTGAGCCAGAGCATGGTGAACCAACATAGGAGGAAAGACGTGGTGAGCCAGAGCATGGTGAACCAACATAGGAGGAAAGACGTGGTGAGCCAGAGCATGGTGAACCAACATAGGAGGAAAGACGTGGTGAGCCAGAGCATGGTGAACCAACATAGGAGGAAAGACGTGGTGAGCCAGAGCATGGTGAACCAACATAGGAGGAAAGACGTGGTGAGCCAGAGCATGGTGAACCAACATGGGAGGAAAGACGTGGTGAGTCAGAGCATGGTGAACCAACATGGGAGGAAAGAGTGGTGAGCCAGAGCATGGTGAACCAACATGGGAGGAAAGAGTGGTGAGCCAGAGCATGGTGAACCAACATGGGAGGAAAGACGTGGTGAGTCAGAGCATGGTGAACCAACATGGGAGGAAGGAGTGGTGAGTCAGAGCATGGTGAACCAACATGGGAGGAAGGAGTGGTGAGTCAGAGCATGGTGAACCAACATGGGAGGAAGGAGTGGTGAGTCAGAGCATGGTGAACAAACATGGGAGGAAAGACGTGGTGAGCCAGAGCATGGTGAACCAACATAGGAGGAAAGACGTGGTGAGCCAGAGCATGGTGAACCAACATGGGAGGAAAGACGTGGTGAGTCAGAGCATGGTGAACCAACATGGGAGGAAAGAGTGGTGAGCCAGAGCATGGTGAACCAACATGGGAGGAAAGAGTGGTGAGCCAGAGCATGGTGAACCAACATGGGAGGAAAGAGTGGTGAGCCAGAGCATGGTGAACCAACATGGGAGGAAAGAGTGGTGAGCCAGAGCATGGTGAACAAACATGGGAGGATGTCAAGGTGATGGCAATGACAATGACAAAGTGGTAGTGGTGTTAAAAACATTCATGTGCACTCAGGCTTACACACACAATAAAGGACATTATACAAATATCATGGACTGAAACACCTCTGCTTCACAGACATTCTGTCTGTGTTTCATATAAAGCACTGTGTGTTCAGTGATTTCCCAGTATTTGGTATCAATGAATTTATGTCTGTTTTTGCTTCTTGGAAGTAAGTCATTTACTGTGGGTTGATAATTGAAATTCTGATGTCAATGGGTACCTCTATGGTCACTTTGCATTTTCACCTTTTTTAGAACGTTGGCTTTGGTCAATCAGTATCTGTCTTTTTAATGTGTTAGTCTTGTACAGAAAATCTAAGTTATTGGATATCATTCTGATCAACTCATTTATTCTCATGATGTGCTGCTTTCCCCTCTTTCTACCATAGCACAATACCCCAAAATTTAAGGAAAAAATTTTCAAAAGAGGAGGCAAAAAATATTTGGAGGACACTGACATGTATTTAGATTGAAGGCCAAAAGTTTTCTCAGAAAGTTCAGCCTCTGATTTACCCTTTTAACAATGTTTATGTAAAGATTATGTAATAATGTTAACATTTATGCCTGGTCAATTTGTTGTTGATTGTGAGAGCAAATTTAAAATATGTAAACACGACCTTGTCACTGAAAGAGTAGCACCAAACTCGTGGTGATGAATGTGGTGTAGTCTCGGTAAGGAGCCAGTAATGTAAGAATTTTGAGTCAACAGAAGCACATTGGCACGATAATGGTCATTTAGTGCGCGGGCAAAACCAAGATGTGCAGACAAATATAATACAGGGAAAGGAAAGGGAATGAATAGAACCGACCAGTGCATCCTCAAACTAACCTGCTGATGAAGAACTGTTGTGCTAAGAAAGTGGTGATGTCACTACAATGATGCACTTATGTCATGGATATACCGAGGTCATTGTTACGTTCAGGTCAGGGCATGAAGAAGTCATTGTGACAAGAGTTAGGTCACAGTGATGTCAAACAGCCCGTTTCCTACATGACCTAAATTGTTTTGTTTTGTTTTAGTAGAGGTTTTACGGTGCTCGCAACTGCATCAGGTCATGTGAGCGCCAAGGGGTGGAAGTCAACAGAGAAGTCCTTACAGGGAATCAGACTTCTCTGCTCATCTCTCTAGC